GGAAGAGTCAGTGGATAAGAAGTCACTTGTTTCTCAGAGTGTAAGTCCGATTATGCTTTAGCATAACCGATTGGGTCATTTGTCTTTTCGATCCTTAAAGAGTCAGTTTCCTACTTTGTTTGAGTCTGTTGAGTTGTCCCAGTTGAAATGTGAAAGTTGTGAGTTTGCTAAACATTATAGAAACTCTTATTCATTGAGTAATACAAGGAGTAATAGTTCCTTTGATATTGTGCATACTGATGTTTGGGGGCCATATCACATCCCTTCTATGGGTGGGTACAGATATTTTTTGTTATTTGTTGATGACCATACTCGGTTTTCTTGGGTTTATCTTATGCGTTCACGAGATGAGATTCCCGCCCTGACCCAAAACTTCCACCAAATGATCCTAACCCAGTTTGATGCCAAGATCAAAGTTCTTAGATCTGATAATGCAAAGRAATACTTTGCTAAGCCATTGGCATCTTACCTTCTTAATTATGGGGTTATCCACCAGAGCACTTGCCCTCATACACCTCAGCAGAATGGGGTTGCATAAAGGAAGAATAGGCACATTTAGGAGGTGGCTAGAAGTATTATGTTTACCTCCAATGTCCCTATTCGCTTCTGGGGTGATGCTATCCTCACGGCGGTAAATCTTATTAATCGGGTTCATTCCCGGGTTCTTGATATAAAACCTCATTTTTCCCTTCTATACCCAAATGAGGAGTTGTTTACTGCTCCCCATAAAACATTTGGTTGTACTTGTTTTGTTCAGCTTCTCGGACCCCATCACTCCAAGYTYGAAYCMAARGCCTCCAAATGCATYTTYCTTGGTTATGCACAAACTCAAAAGGGTTATTGCTGCTATGATCCTGCATCAGGGAAGAAGTTTGTCTCCATGGATGTCACTTTCTTTGAGGAGACACCCTATTATTCTCGGGTTTCTCCTCATGAGGAGAGCAGTGAGAGTGGGGATTTGGGTCCTTTTCTTTAGGGGGAGCGCAGTGAGGGTAGGGTTAATACTTTTGGGGCTGTTCCTTTACCTATTCCATTGAGTGATGAGGGCTACAGTAGTGAGGGTGGTCAGAGGGATCAGGAGTTGAGAGTCTATCACAGGCGATGGAGGCAGGTTGATCCCGGTCATCAGCAGTCCAGGCCAGCTCCAACCTCTTCTGTAGCTCCAAGTCCAGGTATTGCAGTCCCAGGATCCATAGAGACTCCTTCCACTGTTGCCAGTTCACCTCCTGCAGACGACCTTGACCTTCCCATTGCCATCCGTAAAGGGAAACGACCTCCTGGATTCTATGATACAGAGACAGGTAAGAAGGTCTACCAGCTCAATAAGGCATTGTATGGTTTGAAGCAGTCACCTAGAGCTTGGTTTGATAGATTCAGACTAGCCCTTGGGAAGTTCAGTCATGTACAGGCCCAGTCAGATCATACACTATTCATCAAGAGGGTGGAGTCCTCTCTGATACTACTTGCAGTATATGTTGATGATAGCCATGAGATTGAGTCCCTCAAACAGCTCCTTCATCAAGAGTTTGAGGTGAAAGATCTKGGTGCACYACGGTATTTTTTGGGTATTGAGGTTGCTAGATCTAAACAAGGGATCTTTGTCTCTCAGAGGAAATAGTGCAGAGAGTGGGGAGCCTCTTGAAGACAAAGTTATGTTCCAGCGATTAGTTATGTAGTTAGTGTTGTCAACCAGTACATGCATTCTCCTAGAACCACGCATCTTCTTGCAGCAGAAAGAATATTAGCATACTTGAAGAGATGCCCGAGTAGAGGTATACTGTTCAAGAACAATGACCACATGATGGTGGAGGTCTATACAGATGCCGATTGGGCTGGGAGTGTTGAGGACAGAAGGTCTACCTCCGGAATTGTGCCCTTGTGGGAGGTAACCTTGTCTCTTGGAGGAGTAGAAAACAGAGTGTTGTCTCCCGATCTAGTGCTGAAGCTGAATACAAGTCAATGGCTAACAGAGTGGCTGAAATTCTATGGCTGAGATCACTACTTGAGGAGTTGGGTATTGAGTATGAGAAGCCCCTGATGCTGTATTGTGATAATCAAGCGACTATTAATATAGCACACAATCCGGT